ACAATCTCAAAAAGTACTCTAAACTGTATAAATTCAATTGAAATCGATCGACCAATCACGTGAAAGTCCTCCTATGAGATCGGGTCTAATTTAACCGAATCACGACATCAGAGTTATAATATCCGGCTCATATACTGTACTGAATCAAAAAAAATATGAATCTGTTTTCACCCGAACAATCGAATAAAAATGAATGTGATATTTTATTATAATATACTTGCTATAAATTGCTACAAGTCTTTAAAATCGCTAAAAACGCTATAAATCACTAAAACAGCTATAAATTGCTATAATTTCACTATACCCGCAAAATGGTTAAAACTAATTACTATTTTGGTTTGAATCCTGTAGTAGTACAAGCAATAACTAATCTGCATTACAGATATAGTGATGAAACGCCAAAAATGTGGTGTTCTCGTATTCGTGCTCTATTCAGAAAACTTATCGAATATAACCCAATATTCTTCTCAAAGAATGAATATGTTCATATGACTGAAAGATTATATGAAGATGGGAAATTCAGTCCTGGAAGACGTACATTTCATATTTATTGCACTGCATGTGATTCCTTAGTATCTATCTGTGATAATACCGAGAAATGTGCAGATAAGCATCTAAATGAATGTATTGCTAAAATAGAGAAAAGGCGTGTTGCATATTATAGGTCTGTATTATGGAAACAAAAAAGTAAAAAAGCACTTAGTGATGATGAGATTGATGAAATTTATGGTAATATTTATTTTAGATACAGAAAAAGCTCTGAATGTTATTATTCTCGTGCTTCAAAAGAAATTAAGAAAAATGTTGCATATCGTTTAATTAATAGTGCAAAAACTATCCAACGGGCTTGGAGAGCTTTCAAGTTGAGACCTGAAACATGGGCGAAACGAGTTTGGAATATGGTGAGGAATGATCGTACTCCTGACGAGAAGAAGTTTCTATCTCCTCGTGGTAAAAGAGATATTTATGATCCATATGTATGGTATATTGATCGAAAAATTCTAGCTAAAGATTTACCTGAACCTTTTCTGAATAATCTATATGATGGTCATGTTCCACGCGAGTGGGCAGAAAAGAAGAGCGATCAGTTACATAATCAATTAGGTAATATAGCATATATAGTTGCTTTTATAGTATTACATCAGCAAGGCTATAGAATTGTTACATTTGCTGATTGGTCTTATATGTTAAAGTGGCTATCGAATCCTGAATATTACCGTATTAATGAATATTATAACAATGGCAACGTAAACTTTGTTAAAAGTTCAGAATATGCGCGTTATAGATGTAAAATAACAGGCAAACCATATCCATGTGATTCGCTAAAAATTGACTATTTTAAATCTGAATATGGTTTTACTATCGAGGGAAAGTTTAACATTATAGATTTCTCAGATTCGAATAATAATTGTGAATATGTGTGCCGAGTTTTTCGGGCCATAGATTCTTTATCAAAATAATATAGTATTATATTTATGTATAATTATTAGCCAAAGACGCTTTACTTAATAATACAATAAATCATTTTTTTTTACTTTCATTCGCTTACTCCACTACAATGGTATGGGTGATCGCCTAGCGAAATGTATCACCTGCATAATTTATGTCAATTATGTGGGATAAAAATTGTGATCCGCCTAATCTGGGTTAGACCAGCCATGCGAGTACCTTACGGACAGTGCATGTGGGCTGTGCGACAGAAAATAAATGTGTTTCTGATCCCGTTGATGTAATAAGTGATACTCTATGCTTGTGCGACGAAATAATTTCACACATAAGCGATCCCCAAAAATATTTCGATTTTTTTCCCTAGCAACGTTTAGTGGAATAGCATTTATTAATATGTATATTTGCTCCAAAGTTACGGGCTATTTCTATTATATTCCGAACTGAACATATTTATATAACGTTGTCAGGTCTTAGTATTAAGCGGTCGGGCGAAAAAAAGTTCGTATATGCATTATCCCCAACGCCTTTGTAAATGTTGAGATCTTCAATGCACATTCCGCATGTTTTTTACTAACGAACACAAACTTTTGGCGTAAAGTGCCTCGCATGTTTGTCCTATCTCTTTCCCCACATGAAGAGATTGAGAATGTGAGAAATGGTGGCATTTAAAAGGGCAGTGTAGGTAATTTTTAAACTCTGAATCATCAAGAATATTCTTACTGAAATACTGACAAATTTTTACTATGGCAAATTTAGTAGCTAAGATAGAAGAACTTTTAGTATATGATTCATTAGACGCTCTTTGCGGGGCGTCTGTAGTTTATTTAACAATAGAGGAAAATGTCTTACTTCCATATAATAAAGTACGAGAGTTAGTCGACCGGGCAGTCAATTCATCTTTGATGAAAATAGATGATCTTGAGCGAAAGACTAAGGTGTTAGAAATTTTACCGCAGGTTTGTAATAATCTTTTATATGGATTATTTGTTAGCATATAATGATGAAATTACAGCAGATAAATGAGCTGTATTTGGTTGGCCGTTGCTGAAGGTCGGGGAATGCCGGTCCGGAAGAGCGATGTGTTCAGGAATATTTATTCCTCTACATGTCGAGGATTTCTGCTCCACCCTGGCTGTGCGTGGTCAATTTAGCCAAACAATAAAGCTCATAGAGATTGTTAGTATCTGATTGCATGCACATGTGCGGAATTTAGTGGCATATACAGTATTTAGTGACATATATTTAGTGGCATATATATTTATTCGCGCGAATTCTATCTGCTGTAGATGGAAAATGGATATAGAAACATCGTCGGTTTAAAAGCGATAAAGGCGCTAAATACTCCTCAAGAAGCATTTCTAGATTATACGCGAGAAGAAATAGATCAAAATATCAGGGTGTTAAAATCGAAACTTAGTTCTCCATTAACAGAGCCGGATGCATCTCTTTATGATAGCATCAAAAAAAATTTAGAAAGTATCGAATCTGATCTTACATGGCGTGATCCAGAGGCGAGTACAGTTCTTAGTGATGAATCTCCATTAGTGCAAAACTTGAAAACAAGACAGAAGCGTCATTTTTTGGTAAGTAATATTTCAGTAAATGCATAGCCGGAGGCGCTTCATATAATCTTGACTTTTATAAGGGATTATTTATTTCTTTATTAGGAACCGCGTGAGAGAATGAAATGTGAACTTCCTAGAGAAATTATTTCCAAGTGTGAGGAGTTTACAAATAATTTTCGCAGGGGATACACTCCTAATAATTTTAGCAATGTCATACACGACAAAACGTGGAAAGAGACTGGTCCTGATTTGGAAAAAAGAACGGAATGGATACTTAGTGTACTGTAAGTTCTTCCATATTTTCCTAATAAATTCGTAATGGTTTTTATGTCACAGATTCATTAATAAGTTATATTTAGTGCGGAAATTTGGAATAACCCAGCATTTACAACCAGCGAATCTCGTAGTAAGGTACCTACGTCACAGATGTAATAGTACCACTACTTCGAGCCACATTAGGGGATTTACCAAGCGGACATATTTGCTTAAGCACGGCTGAACGGCAGAGTTTAGCAAGTAAAGCTCGCAAAAATGCTGGGACGGATAAAGAACGTATGGGGAAGAAACCCGACATTATGGTACTAGACCAATATGTGGATAAAATATTTGAACTTACATATGTTGAATGTTCACGTATTGTATGTAGTACTACGAAAAAAGCAAATGACGAAGTGAAGCTGTGGAGAGAAACTTTAGATGGTGCGAGTTTTGTAAATATCGCATGTAGGCCAACTAGTAACCAATTTGGAATTGTCGGTATTCAGGTTGCTGGTGCGACCATATATTTGAATGTTCTGATGAATGATGCGAGCGGAATTCCAAGGTATTTTCACCTTGATCATGCTGATATTCCTTTGGATTCCAATTCACCAAAACGTGTCAAATCTCTTGTACGATTATTATTAACCTTAAGGGTATGTTTGACATTTCCTATTTTTTGTTTTAGTTTCATTATTAGTCGGCTAACATTCTATAATTGCAATAGAATATCCTAATTGTGAATAAAAGTTTACTTGCGCGAGCATTGGAACAAGCAATTTCAAATCCACCTCGAAATGTCCATTCAAGCCCAACTGTTTCCACACCACCATATAATAATTAACATCGTATCATGTAATTTAGCGAAATTTATCATAGAAACTCTAGCTTATGTATTTTACACAACGCCTTAACGGCCATTTTTCCTATATCAATAAAGTGCCCTGGTGGCCGATTATTTTTACATATATCTGTATTTTTTTCGTGTTGGATATGCACCGAATAATAAAATTTTTCTTGGCAAATTTCCGGGACATAATGTCTCGGAAAACACGTGATTTTTACTTTTGAATATTTTAAACATACTAATACTACACTACGCTAGCATGCAATCTGAAATAGATGAGACCGATTCATTGAAAATATGCATTGCCAGGCTTGAGGTCGAAAATGCCGAA